ATATTGGAACACTGCTATCATGTCCCCCCTCGTCCTTCTCTTCATTAAACTAGACATACCCAATTCCAGCAGCCGTTCCTTATATGCTTTAGCCTCCAGTCCCCTAATCATCTTTGTTGCTCTTCTCTGTACTCTTTCTAAAGTCTCAACATCTTTTTTACATCGCGGTGACCAAAACTGGATGCAGTATTCCAAGTGTAGCCTTACCAAGGTATTGTAAAGTGGTATTAACACTTCACGTGATCTTGATTCTAGCCCTCTGTTAATGCAGCCTAGTTGTTTCAGATTTTTTTGTCCGTTTTATAAATATTAAGAAAAAAGTAGAGTTGCCTTTTTAAGATAGATTGGTATCCCTTTCAGAAGCCTAAGTCATCTGAGTTGCATTATGAATCAAAGGGAACGAATATCTGTTGAAATGTTACCACTTCTGCTGCTGCTTCTGACGAATAAAAACATTGGAAGAAATGTCTAGCAAAATGTGTTTATAAGGCTTGATTGAACAAAGTACAGAATGGACCAAGTATTTATCAAAAAAATGTCAACTTCAATAGTGCTTTCTGTTTTAGTTGAAGGTGTTTGTTCTGTGGCAAGTTGTGTTGGCAGAGAGTTAGCCCCTCATGTGAAGAAACACGGAAGCAAACTGGTTCCAGAATCCCTTAAGAAAGACAAAGATGGAAAATCAACTTTGGATGGTGCTCTAGTTGTAGCAGCAAGCGGAATTCAAGGTAACCAAATTAAAATAGCTATCTGTCAATGCATTTTAAGTTAATTGTTTATATATTAGTTATCTCCTGGTTCTAATTGTTTTTGCAGGGTTTTCGACAGTTTGGCAGGGTTTGGAATGTGCTGCAAAATGCATTGCTAAAAATGTATCTACTGAGACAGTTCAGACAGTCAAGTACAAGTAAGTTTTTTTTCCCTCTTCTGCATAAATAATAACTGAGTGTTAGGGAATAACAACTGCATAAAAGTATTTTGTGTCTATTGCTTTAATTGAACAATTGTTATATAAATATATAGTTTTCTCAATTATATAGAAATAAAGCATAAGTTAAAAAAGGCTTTGTTACTGAAGAATCTTTCTATTTAGCAGTCCCTGTCTCCAAATATTTTTTCCCTCTCCAATGGACTGAAACAACAATCCTTTAGTAGAGCCTTTCTATGTAATATGTTGTAGAGCAGCTGTCCTCAACCTTTTTGGCACCAGGGACCAGTTTCATAAAAGACTATTTTTTCCATGGACGGGGGGGAATGGTTTGGGTTTAACTCACTCCCTATCACTCACTTCCAGCTGTGCAGCCTGGTTCCTAACAGGCCATGGACCTGTATTGGTCGGTGGGCCAGGGGTTGGGGACCCCTGTTGTATAGAAAGGGGGAAATTAACTTTCATGCCTTTTTTATTTAAAATTGGGCTATCCAATACTTTTCTATATCATTAAGGTAGTTTTATTTACTGAATAAACATGATGCTATCTATCATGCAAAAGTCATGGAGACGGAACAGGTAATGTCTAGTAATACATTATGTTCTCTGTGTGAACTGTTTCCACACTGAAAATATTATTTATTTCTGTTTTTTATGTTTGGAGCTCCCTGTCACAAATGGGGATTGCTACCAGCTTTATTCCTTTGAATATTGAATGTATATCAGATCTATGGAGGAAAATGAATGTGTGTAGGTACTGTGGGAGGGTTTTATATCGTTAGTTTTGATTACATACCATATCAACTTTCTTAACTTCTAAGAGAAATGCAAAAAATAATAATAATAATAATAATAATAATAATAATAATAATAATAATAATAATAATAATAATAATAATAATAATAACAACAACAACAACAACAACAAGTTGGAAGGGACCTTGGAGGTCATCTAGTCCAACCCCTTGCTCAGGCAGGAAACCCTATACCATTTCAGACAAATGGCTGTCCAGTCTCTTCTTAAAAACTTCCAGTGTTGGAGCATTCACCACTTCTGGAGGCAGGTTGTTCCACTGGTTAATTGTTCTAACTGTCAGGAAGTTTCTCCTTAGTTCTAGGTTGCTTCTCTCCTTGATTAGTTTCCATCCGTTGCTTCTTGTCCTGCCTTCAGGCGCCTTGGAGAATAGCTTGACTCCCTAAGTGTTAGCAATAGCTGTTGTTTCTTAATTGAACTTCCCACAAGTAGTATAAGATGTCTGTAATACATACAGAATGGCCTAAAAAGAGATACTGTGCAAAATATTAAGTGAAACTTCTAAACAGCAATCTAGCAATCATTTCTTATTTCTAAGATCTGCAGGCTATAGTGAATCAATCACTGGTCTTTGCATTCAGATGAGATTATAGCAAAAGCTACAAAGCTACATAGTTCTTTTATAGCATGTTGATCAAAGAGAGTTTGAACATGTACATACATATTCAACAACTGAATAAGCAAGTGAAATAACAAGGAGTAACTACAGCATCATAATTTTCATGAGTAGAGTTGCTGCTTTGAAATACGAAATCTTTCACTGTTATTCAACAAGTTGCCCCTGAAGAAGGAGACGTGATAAGCGTGTGGTTAATCCACAATTTCTGAACATGTTTCTATTCCATGAGAGGCATAAATTCTTTAGGAATTTGGGATCAGTGAAAATGTCAAAGGAAGTACCATTTGTCCTTATTTAGTGACTGCCTTGTTTAGCAACGTTTCAGTTATGACAGTGATGAAAAAGTAATTTGTAGGTTGCCTGCATGTCTTGAAAGGAAAGCTGAAGTTCAAATTTGCATTATTTTAAATGATATTTCTATGGAAAATAGGGTAATAGGTTCCAGCCTGACCAACCAGGAAATGAAAACACTTACATATAATTTTTATGTTTGTCATTAAATATAACAGTAAAAGATTACAAGAATATACTGTACTTACATCTTAAATATATCTTTAACGAAGTCACAAGAGTAGTCATAGAAACAAACATTTTTAGCTATCTTCTGAATAGATCTCATACATATTTAAAATAAATCAAGTGAACAAAGGACAAATTGGAGGATAAACCCATATCCGAAATATACCTATTACCGCCTACATTCTGTTGTATAGGTAGTCCTTAATTTACAATCACAATTGGGGCAGGAGTTTCCATTGTTAAAACAGTTGTGGTCATAAAGCAAATGTCACATGGCAGGACCATTTAGTGACTGCAATCCTGTCATCCAGGTTGCCATTATTAACAAAATCATGGTTTCTTAAGTGAGTAGCCACCCCAAAACTAAGCCATTCCAGGCTTGATCCCTCCCAGCCCTGAGTCTTAGTAAGGTAAGATATTGCTTCCAACTACCCCCACCTGCCTATCTCCCCCCTTCCATTTCTGCCATCTTGCTGCCATGCACCCTGCTTTGTGGGGCAGTAAGCAACTCCAGAACTGCACAACTGTGGGGTGACTTCCCACACCCTAGGAAGCTACAGCCACCCAGCCACAGTTGCCCTTGCCACCTTGCACTTCAAGACCCCTGTTGCCATGTGCTCCATTGTCCTAGGTGACCTTCACGTTCCTCTTGCTGCTGATGAGACATGACTGGCCTGGCTGCTGGATGTGGCTGTGGAAAAAGGGCCAAAAGCAGCCCCAGAGTTGCAATGCACCAAAAAGCTCCTGGGTCAATGGCACATCAAAAAGCCCCACCCCATCTTTTGCAAAGGAACTGCTTTGGGCTTCTTCTTTTTCAATGCAGTTGAAAAGCCAATTCCTATATTCTTAAGTGTAAATTTTTCAATTAATGATTAACAATGTGTGGCATATGGGAATATATATAAAACAGCTTTCCTTAATTGTACTGAGCTAAAAATTAAGTCTTAACACTTTCCTTTTTAGGTATGGGAATGATGCTGGCCAAGCTACAAATAATGCTGTGAGTTCTGCCATCAATGTTGGTGTAACAGCGTTTAATATTGACCATATTGGAATCAAAGCTATGGTCAAGAAAACTGCAAAGGAAACAGGCAACACACTCCTGGATGATTATAAGATTACCGAAAAGGATGAAAATAAAGCTCTACAAAAGAGAGAGAAAAAAGATGAACACTAAATCTGTGCAACTGAATTGCCAAAAGCCTTAATATATATTTAAATGAAATGAATTAACAGATTTGGTATTTTTATAATCTTAAACTATTTGGACTCAATTTATCAGACTTGAAGATTAACCTTTTCTAAAAATTATTTCTGTTCCCATAACTCCAATATTGCAGCCTCTTCCAGCCCAGAATTTTCCATATGTGAAACCAATTTCTAGCTAACATGGTAAAACTTTAACACATCTGGAGAGCACCAGATTGCAAAAAGCCAATTTAAGTGAAAACTAAATTTGCAATAGCATTTAACTTGCACAAGAAAAAACAACTCCTTTTTAAGTTGTAAAATGGAGTATTAGAACTTAACTTGATATATACTGTTTTAAAAACTTCTACTTCATTTTCCCCCGAATCTTATTTCAATAGTTATTGAAACTGTACTGTCTGATTAGGTAGTGTACATATTTGAACTTTATTACATAAACAACTGATTAAGCTATCAAATTATTGATAAGCTATCAAAATCAATTCCAATTCTACAGAAACCAAAGATTGATATTTTACTATTAATGTTATTAGTTTAATTTAGTTTAGTTTAAACCAGCTTTATGAAATCCTAGTTTTAATTGGAATAGATGGCAAAATTCTTAACTACTTTTGTTGGCAAAATATGATGCTGAAATAACTGAATTCTATGAAAAAAGATTTTTGCTCAAAAAAGTAAGGCTCCATTTATGGATGAAGAAAAAGCTTTATATTCTATATTTATTATAAGATAATTTATTATAAATTATTTTATTGAGAGGTCTGCATTATTCAGAAGTATATCTTGTTGCCTTGTAAGAGAATGAAATTCATTTTCTGTTAGACATTGACATTTCCTTCTTAATATGAAAAAGCAGTTGCTATTAATGTAGAATTTCCAACTTTTAGAGGTTACTTCTGATTTTGATATTGAATTTAAATAGTGGTGGTCAAATGTGATAGCAAAAAGATAGCACGTCCATTGGTTTAGGAGCTAAGCACTTGAAATGACTTATGAATTTAAAATTATAAATAAACTTAAGATGCATATTTTGGCTATCTTCATTTTTATTTAAATACACCTGCTCCTCGTTTAGTGACCAAGTTCCATTTAGATCACGAAGAAAGTTGCTAAATGAACCTATGATTGAAAAGATACTACAAAGATCACTGGTTGCTGCCATTTCATTCAGTTAAATTTCTCTTGTACAGCTATGTCAACATTACTAACACTCTGAAATGTGTTGTCATGTAAATGAAATTTGGTTAGAAATGCACACATTGATCAAAAACATATTTTTAATTATCATTTATTAGCATTGCATTTGCAAGTGGTCACTCAGGTTTTTTAGACCACTAGTCACTGTGATCCCTAAATGAAGAATATAGTATATAGACAAAATCAATGATAATAAGTTGAGAGACGGTATGATTCCTGTTAAGTTGTTCTTGCAGGTTTTAAAAAATGTAGCAAAAGCAACGAATATGTGTAAAGTATAAGTGCAAAATAGCAATATTCTTTGGGTATTCTGTTTGAAAAACATCTTGTGCCAAATAGGGATCTTTAGTGATTATTATACATTTAGCATTTCGTAAAAATAAGGAAATTTGATGTGTGGATGTTATCTATACCAAATGACTGCTAATGAAATTGTTCTTCTGTTTGCTTGATGTCTTCACTGACAAGACAGCTGCAGAAAACAAGGCTTCTTTGCTTTTCATCACACCAGGTTGGTGGGCAAGAATTTGCTGTAATATAACTGAATTTCTTAGTTCACAAGACCATTTTAGAAACACAAAACTGATGGCAGAAAAGGTCCTAGTCCTCCCTTTTTATTTTATTTTTCTTTTATTTTTAAAATAACATGGTGGATATCTTCTTATAAGGGTGGATAGCTATTGTTGATCTGTACTGCCTGTTCATACCTTCCTTTCCTGAACTTATCAGAGCTAAACAAGTATTTCCATCAGTTTGTGCCTATAGATACATATGTAGGCTTATTACAGCCAAAACTTCAATCAGAATAGAGCTGGAAGGGACCCCTCTGCTCAACCCTCTGCTGTTTAAGAAACCCATTTTGAGTTGTGTAGTTATAACTATCCCAGTGGATCTCAACTCTAGGTAACCACATCCATGTAACTTTGCCACCTGGGATGTTTTATTAATTTTCTTATATGGCCAACAGAGGTGGGGTATCTGGTCAGACACCCTCCATATACGAAGCAAGGCAATCCTGGTTAGTTTCCGATAGCCAGCATCTGGATGTTGCCACCAATAAACTAGAAGCACTTAACTTGAGGTTAGCTGGTTTCAAAAAAAAAAAAAGGCAGGGTCAGTCCACGTCTATAGAAGTTCAAACATCCTTGCAAGACATTTCTGCACTGTTAGTAACACGCGGAAGCACAGCGGGTAGTAGCTCCAGACATTCTTTCCTTTAGGCCAGTGTTTCTCAACCTTGACAATTTTAAGGCATGTGGACTTCAACTCCCAGAATTCCACAGCCAGCAGTCCACATGCCTTAAAATTGTCAAGGTTGAGAAACACTGCTTTAGGCCGTTTTCCATGCTGCTTTGTAACTTAGCTTTCTTTCTTTCTGTCGTTCCCCATTTAAAACCACTGTAATAGATGCAAATTCTAAGCAAGTCGTCGATATATTATCTTGCAACGGACACTCTAGTAGTCTAAGAAGCGCCCACGCCTCGCAGCACCGCAATACCAAAACACGGTGGCGCGCGCTGCACTTTCCAAGAAACAAGAGATCAATCCTGACGAACGAAGGCGAATATACGTGTCTCAGGATAAGGTTGCAGGATCCAATCTGAGTCGGTCCCCGGGACCGGGGTTTTTTTTTTGTCTTCCGAGCTTTCGGACTCGGAAGGCAAAACCCCTGGTCCCGGGGACCGACCCAGATTGGATCCTGCAAAGATCCATCTTCCCCCATCTCTTTCTTCGGCGCGAGGGAGGGAGGGAGCTCAGCATTGTGCCGTCGCAGGCAACGGGAGTGTTCGAAAATTCCTGCCACGTGAGCGGCGCTGTCTCTTTTCCTTCCCCGCCCTTCCCCGCGCCTCTCCTGCGTGTTCTCCAAGGCGATGAGGACGCGCGGGAGCAGCTGCGTGTGTGTAGGAAGCCATGGGGGAAGGCAGCGCTTACAGCCCAGAGCTAGACTTTGGAGGCGTGGAGCAGGAGCTGACTCAAGAGAAGCAAATGAAGTGAGTCCTGCCGTCAGCAACGCTGCGGATGTCTGAGGCGGATGACGCATAAACACCCGGAAAGGGTGTGTGTGTGTGTGTGTCGGGGGGGCGGAGAGGGGGGCTGATGCCAACCCAAAGGGATGCCAGAGGAAACTGCATTATTCGAATGGGAAGAGATATTTTTTATTACCACGCCCTGTGCACTGACATGTTCTGGAAGAGTTCTCCTAAAGCTGCAACTGTATTTGCAGAATAACGTTTTTAAAAGTTAATACAATATTCTTAGTATGTTGCAATAATACTTAAACGTTAAAGTTAGGCCGCTTTATAAAAGATTCGTGTTTTATCTCTGTTACCAAAGTCTTACCTGTACAGCTAAGAACTGTTCTTGAATTTATAGCAAAAAAGGTTTGAATCTGGGACTGTCTTAATATATTTACTTGCATTACCTGAATATATTTACAGCATGCTGTATCTTAGCGCAGGGCTTTTCAACCTTTTCACCCATTGTACCACTTTTAGGATATGGCAATATCCGAGTACCACCAGTCGCCTAGCGAGGTGTCAAAAACTTGATGACCAAAAAGGAAAAAAGTGATAAAGTACAGGTAGTCCTCGACTTACAATAGTTCGCTTAGTGACTGTTTGAAGTTACAATGGCACTGAAAAAAGTGCCCCCCAAGGCACAGCCGAGCAAGACACCTGCCTGCCCACCCGGCGGTGCTCTCATTCCCTTCCCCCGCTACCACTTTTCTAGGATGGTCGCGTATCACCTGCCAGGTGCCAATGTACCACAGGTGGTAACCGTACCACTGGTTGAAAAGCCCTGTCTTAGCGACTGGACTTAAGCTGCACATTTATATTAAATTTATGGAACATATTAAAATGGAAGATTGATAGTTTTTGTATGGCTCTTAAGCTGCCTTGCAGTCTACATGAGGCTGTTTCACAAGGTCATGTGAAGAGGGGGCAAAATGCCATGGATAAGTCACTATGCTGGTTACAGTCTTTTCATCATATTTTGAAAATTAAATTGGTATATGCTAAAATAACAGCGGGAGCCCACAAAGGATCTTCAGCTGTGGTTGGAAAGGGAGGCATACCATCTTCCCCCTTTTTCTCATGCCCTGCTGACCAGCCTACAGTTCAGCAGTGGAGTGGAGAGCAGGTACTTTCCCCCCTGCTAGTACTGGCAACTGGCAAACAGGAATCTGGGACAACTGCTGTAAATTGCACTAAGAAAAAAGGCCGAGGCAACTCTTCTTTTTCAATAAACCTGCTCAGCATTCCAGCTATAAAGTGTTTAATGTTTTATTGGCTTTAAAAAAATATAAACAATTGTCCTTCACTTATGCGCCACCTGTACTCACTGTAGATTTTAACTGTAAGTGATGTGTGGACATATTAATTTCCTCCTATCCTTAGCTGCTAAGTAACTAGTCCTAGCTACCTGGGCCAAAAATAAACATATCATGAGATCTATGTTTGATTAGATATTATTGCCTCATCTAGACCAATTTTCTTTCCCATAATAACTAGTCCGATGCTAATAGGATGGACACAATTCAGACGGGAGCAAAGAAAGCTTTAAGATGTCTTATACTATGCTGGCAGCACCTTGGCAAAGGGAAAGTGCATGTAGAGAGAGATTTGCAGTGACAGAGCTAGTTTTTGTTTTCACAACCCCTGCAAGGCATGGGAAGGAATACAGTTAGATCAGATCAAAGACGGATTTGAATATACCAGTATTTTGGAAGTCCTTTCTGCAGCCTTGAGGAGGAAGAGGATGATTCATCCCTGTAAGTCCCTTTATCATTGTTGTGACAGGTAATTTCCTGTGACTTTTTTTTTTGAGCCTTCTACTTGGCAGACAAGAATAATGAGGATGTATAAATGAGCGGTCCTCAGCTTGTTTTGCTTTGGATACTCATCAGATTCAGAACATTAAAGAGAAGTAATGAAAGGCCTTTTAAAAATGCTCTTAATAGTCCTGGCTAGGCATGGAGATATTGTTACCTCTCATTTCATTATTAAATGTGTTTTAAAGACTATAATAGAACATGAGCAATATATTAGGACACAATTACGTGGAAAAAGCTCTGGAACCCTTTGTTTGGTCACTTGCAGAGTTTTAAATGTCATTTTGCATAGTAGCACCATCTCAGATCATCCATCTGTTTAGCTAATTTAATACTGAATCTCTGTATTCAACAAATACTGGGGGAAGAATATGTTTGTTATGACATCTGCTCACAATTTATAGACTTTAGTCTTGAGAGAGTGCCTGATGGTGCTTTTATAAGTATAGAAACCTGCAGATATCTTGTAAAGAATTTATATTATAAACACTTATGTCATTTTCATATACCATTGGGATTTGTAATTGCCATACATGCTTTCTCTTTAATACAGAGAAATGTTAGAACTTTCCATATTTGAAATGAACAATACAATAGCAGAACTAGTGAAAAGACTTAGCAGAACTGATGATGAAGGTAAGAGATTATATTTGACCTTAGCTGAAATAATAGTTTTCAGGCTTTCTGTGAATTAAAAATAAAATACTTTATATATGTTTATATACAATGTCAAGTCTTACATTTCTTCATGCTCTAGAGCAAAGAGCACAGTGACTCACCTGGTTAGGACGCTGGGTTGACAATCAGTAAGCCCACGTTGGAGACCCGAGTCCTTCTGTGTGATGGGACGAGCTCCTGTTGTTTGCTCCAGCTCCTGCCTACCTAGCAGTGAGTAATTGTGAGTAGATAGATAGGCATCACTCCATTGGGCACATTAACGGGACATGAAAGGAGCCCCCAACTGGGCGTCTCCTAGTCACTGGCTAATTTTTAATCCAGAAGGGCCCCAGTTCTTCCAATACAAATGCATGCATGCTCTAGAGCACAGAAATATGATTTGTTCTTATCTGATAGGGTTTCTGTAAGTAATCACACAGTTTCAATCGCATTATTAGCTCACACTTCTGAAGTTGATGTATTAATGAAAGGAATGTTCTTGTCCATTTTTCTGTCTCCTTCACATGATAACATAAAAACTAAAAACTAGTCTCTTTGCCTATTGGTCAAAAGACTCTGACTTTGATATCCTGGATCTGGTTAACAAATCAGAAAACTGAATTCATCTTTCCTAATCAATTTGAATAATAAAAACAGTGATCAATTTTCACTGATTTATTTATTGAACTATATATTTGCTCTTTACCTCCAGCTTTCATTCAGGTTCTCAGAATTCTACCCCCACAACAACCTTTGTTTGGGCAGAGTGACTGGTCTTCCAGTGAGTTTGAGTCTCCCTGTCTGGTCGCTCACTTGCAATATGGTAGTTAGCTTCCTCCCCATCTGTCCTACACCCGAATTCATTTGTAGCCTGACATTGCAATGAACAAGGACATACTGTACATTCAACTTTGCAGATATTAAAATTGTTAGCTGAGCAGGCACAAAAATAGGCAGGGAAATGATTGAACCTTGGGAAACAGGTGTCAGTCAACAGGAGTGCTGATTTACCACTAGCTTATCAGCTACTTAGGAGCCGAGGACTTGGCAGCACAAGGAAACAACAGCCAATGACTTAGTAACCGGCTATCAATACCTCAGTCAACAACTAAAAAACCACACACAACCAGGCACCACATAAATACTAGGCATAGAATAGCCCAAAGCATGTATTCTGGTGAGAGAGAAGTTCCCTGAGGATGGGCTCCAGCACGGGTCTGAAAATTCGGAACACTAAACCTCTAGTCCCGGTGACCGATCCAGATTGGATCCTGCAACATTATCCTGAGACATATATATTTGCCTTCATTCGCCATATTTATTTGTATCAATGCCTTTGTACCCCATAAAAATCCCATTGGCATGGTAGGAAGCAGACTGAATTGGTCATGTGAGTCTTCTGGTGATGTGACTTTTGTGACTATCCATGCTAATTGCCACTATTTTTGAAGAGGCAGTTCTCCCATGGCAACCATTTTATGAGGGTAGCAAATCACATGATCTCTACATTCAAAAATACTCCTAGTCCCCCAAAGCTTCCTATTTCTGCATTTAGAATTATGATCTGGGTACCATAAATCAGCTTCCTCTAAGTCACTACCTATAGGTGTGTTGGTGATGAGCAGGGGAATTACTTTGATGGGTGTCTAAAATTCTGTTTCATTATCCTACTAGCAGTAAATATCTTTCCAAAAATCTAAATAGTTTTCGTTTCCTGAGTTTTCAGTCTTGCAAGGTTTAACATCAGTCTTGAAACCACTTTACTGTTTCACCTTAAAGGCATTGGATTCTGAATTCTGGACTTAGCTTCTGATCTTGTTGGCAGAGTGGAATAGTTGTTTCAGCATATACAGTAGCTAAATAATTACAGAATGCTATGATGCAGTATTTGGGCCAAGATTTATCTCAGCTATGAAAGCTTATGGATTACTGCACTTTCAATTAAATTCCATTCTGGAAACCTGCTGAAGAATTTGGGGGAAGTTGTGTCCAATTCCTAACTTTCACACAAGTGTGAATTGTTTGTGGCCGTGAGGTTAGCAAGTTCCCTAGTGATTAGACCAGTGGTTCTCAACCTGTGGGTCGGGACCCCATTTGGGGTCGATTGACCATTTCATGGGGGTCGCCAAGCAAGGCTGTCCGCCATTTTTTTTGTCCGCCATTTTTCCCCCTTTTCCAGCGAGTGCCTTACCTCCCTTGGGCTGGGCCAGCTGGTGGTCGGCCTGCTCCGTCTCTGCCGCTTGCCAGCTACGCGTCGGCCGGCACAGGGGGCGGAACCACGCATGCGCGGCGCTCCCGGGCAGGGAAAGTCCTCGACTTATGACCGGTTGGGTAGTCCTCGACTTACGATCGGTTTAGTCCTCGACTTACGACCGGTTTAGTCCTCGACGTACGACCGGTTTGGTCCTCGACTTACGACCGGTTGGGGTCGCGGCATTAAAAAGGTTGAGAACCACTGGATTAGACAAAGGTGGCATTCTTTCTCAGGCTTTTAAAAGGAACAGCAGACACATGGGCAGTTCTACTCACTGAAAGAAACAATATCATGCTAGACCGCTGACAAGATTTTATGCAGAAAGTGAAAGCTGCCTTTGGTTGGGAAAGCAACTGTGATTGGGAAAGTCATAAATTGGGACAAGAAGGATGCTGAAGTATATAACATATTTTCAGTTGAATGTCAGCAATGTCCATTGGAATTTTGCCATCATCAACCAGTTTCAGGAAAATTAATTTAAGAGATGAATTAGTGAAATAAGGCATGCCAGAGACTTTGGAAGAGCTGTTTCAACATTTTGTGGTAAGAGATGGTCATCTGACAGAGTTGAGGTACAATTAATTGAAGAATATGAAAAGTGTCATTGCACCTGTGGAATGTTGGGTCATCTCATAAGTAAGGTTCTAAATTGCTTTAATATCTTGATTTTGGGAAACTGTTCCCCCATCCACCAACAATTACAGAGTCTTCCAATGTCTAACACTAAGCAATACATTTTATTATCTCCATTTGCATCCTCTCACCTCCGAAATGCAACTCTTATTTCATTTGAGCTTGTGGGGGGCAAATATTAATTTCATTGATAAGGCTATTATAGGACAATTTGTCTTTCTATACAAGTAGAGATAATTGATGGTATATCCCTCCAGTCTAAGAATAAATCACCACAAAAATTACTGCAACTGTATTTGATTGCTTTCTTGCATGACCCAAGAGCTTTGGAGAACGATTGGCTACAAACACCTAGTCACAGTTTTCACTGGGACTGTTTTCTCCCTCTCAGCATTTAAACAGTACCTTTTGCAAACCTTGGGCTACTATCTTTACAGCAACTTAACCTGCCACTTGCTTGAAAAGGAGCTGTGAGTTCAGGAAAACCCCTCAATTGTGCACCAATCCCAAAGAAGGCACAGTATCAAAGCTGACATCAGACAGAGCATAGAAAAACTCAAAGAAGTAGTGCAAGATTGGAAGACGTGGAGAAACCAGGCCCATAGAATTGCCAAGAGTCAGACAGGATATCATCATCATCATCATCATCATCATCATCATCATCATTATCATAAACATGCAAAGAAGGCATTATAGTCCCATTCAGAACCTAGGATGGAACTTCTCCAAACTGGTGGGAGGAGAGGGGAGGTCCAAAGAGCACGACTACTAAGTCTTGTCAGAATTGGGCCTAAGCCAGCTCTTACTTCTCCAACCACCAGGACAAGATTTTGACAACATTACCTGAGATTGGGATACATACCTATGTATCATCAGCATACTGATGAGACCAGATCTTAAATCAATGGATGATCTCACCCAATGGCATCATGCAGATGTTAATCAGAAGAAGTGAGGGCATTGAGTTTGAGCTGCTCCACACAAGAAGGGCCTCTGATCAATCTTTCCCTGTTCTATCAATATCAACTGGATCTGACCATAGAGAAAGGAAGAGAAAACTGGAACAACCTTACCTCTCACTCATAATCCCATAGGCAGCCCAGAAGAATACTATGCTAAATAGTATTGAAAGCTACCCAGAGATCAAGTAGAACTAGGATAGTTGCACTACTCCATCCTATGTTTTCAGAAGTCTTTAACAAACATGACTTAGTGCTATGACTCAATTTGAAACCACATGGAAAAGGATTTAAATAATCTATATCTTCTAGGGTCCTCTGATGCTGCAGCCTGGTCATTTTCTCAACAATATTTCTCAGAAAGTGAAGATTGGAGACTGGATTACAATTATCCAAAATAATCAGGTTCAGTGAAAACATCTTGAGGAGGAACATACCACCACCTCATTCAAGGCAGAAAATGCCATCTCCAAGAAGCAGATAGTACTACATGGATGCAACTGAGTGTTACTGATTTCACCAGCCAGGAAGTTCATAGATATAATACAGAATTGTTTGGGTTCTTCAATCTGAGAATCCTTTCTCCTTTTTTGGAGTCAGAATCTCAAACTCGTACAGATCACGAGACAAGATAACACTTCTCCTTCCTCAACACAACTTGCTAGTCATCTTCAAATTAATCCAAACGATTTTGTCTGCCAGACATTGGGCCAAGACTATCTTTGCTAAGATGGCTTGTTTGTTCTAGTGCTTCCTTTTTCTGCTGCACCACGGGATACATTTTCTCTGGAATTTATTACGGTTCTCCCAGAAGTGTTATGGTTTTACAACCATTCTAGTGATAGTGTATCTGTTTACCAAGTTGACTCATTTTATTCCATGTAAGAGGCTACCATCTGCTCTGGAAACTGCACAGCTGTTTCTAACCCACATTTTCCACTACAGTACAGGGACTCAGTTAACCATGTGATCTCAAATTGCAGCTCCTGATTTATATCCCTCTTCCACTTATTGGACATTCCTATTCATCCAACATTGTCTCATCATGAAGGGAATCAACAGGGCAGATGGAGAAGAGTAATGTGATACTATGCTGCTATATATTCTATGAACATGACAATTAGTTTGATCTCTATTCCACTATTTGCAGAATTTGAGTTTATCAACCTTCTATGTCCCTCCACTGGCATATCTTGCTCCCAAACAGTTATTCGATATAACTCACAGCATTTGCCCTTCATAGTTCTTTGTCCTTCTGCAGTTCTCCAAACATCAGATTTTCCCCAAGAGAGACAGGCAGCATAACTCCTCTTAAGGAAAAAACTGGTTTTGATCATGGCTGCATATAAGTGGATATATTGACACCTTTCTTAAATCATGCACAAGGAAAGAGCAAAGCAAAATATTTTCTTGGCCTTTAAAATAATTTAAATCCCTGTAGCTGTATGTTCCATTTATGGGTTTCATCCCACCAAGTTTCCATAATGGCAACAATATCATATCTGCTCTCATTCATCTAGTTTATTGCTCATACTCTGAGCAATACATTACCAGGGTAAAACTGAGATTTTCAGCAAAACATGTTCTACCAGTAAGGTATAGCTATATTTGAGAGTTCTTCTCTTCTAGGTATCAGGAGAGTCAATTTATCCATTTACCAGTAAGAGAGGGAGTCTGTTCCTTCTTCAGGTCTTCCATTCTCTCCCGTTGTGATACAGATTTAGTTAGCATTAATTTTTAAGTTACAGACAAGAATTTTAGCAAACATTTTTAGATGTTTTAGTGTGTTCAGATTTTAACATATAAATAGATGCTTATCAAGCTTCTCTTAGATGCAAAGAATTCATAGTTATAACACTGAAAGTATTTTGACTTACTGAAATAATAAGCATTAATATAACAGTTTATTTTTAAGACAGTGAATGGAAAACCAGATATGAAACCCAAGTAGAACTGAACAAACAGCTAGAAAGGCAGATTGGATTTCTCCAAGGAAAGGTGGAGCATCTTGGTGGCAACCCAACAGGTATAGGTGCTGTTGTTGCTTTTGTCATGATAATTTTGACAAAGATTTTCACTATTTGCATATTGTTTATCAAGGGCTTCTTTATTTTTCTTCTTTCTAGACAAACTGGCTTCTGTTCGTTCCTTCGAGCAGATGCATATGGTAAGTAAATTTACAAGTAAACATAATTAAATATTTCTTAGACCATATCATTGTTTGATGATGGTGGTGATTATTTGATTGTGGCAGTGTTCTGACACATCTTAATTTTTGATTTGCACTACTATTTATTCTTTCAATCAGTCGCTTTATATTTTTCCAGCTTGTTACTATTTAGTTAATTTATATCTTGTCCGCTGTGCCTGTGCTGGAACATCATAACATTAAAAACCAACAAAAGAAAATAACAAAAAAAAAACCTAAATAGATAATGGTGTCTAAGGACAATCTAACCCAGGGGTTTCAAACTGCCGGCCCACGGGCCGGATGCATCATCCGGAAGCCGTGCCCACCCCATTGCCGGCAATGGCAAAACCATCCGATACGTTGTGCGACATCATATGACGTCGCGAGTTTGACATGTCTGATCTAACCAAATACATACAACACTCATATTAAAAATCATATTGGCAGGCTCATCCAAACTCCAGGCCTGAGAAACATCTAGGTTTTCAAGGATTTAGAAAATTCCAGAAGGGGCCAAGTGAATGAAGTAATTATAATGATACCACAATAAGCCTCCATCAGGGACCCGAAGGACCCATATTTTCTATGTGTTTTTAAAGATGTTTCATTGCTCTTTATGTTATAGTCATTACTGTAGTCATTATGCTCAATAGACAAACAAAATGATATATAGTAAAGACAGTAACAATGCTCACAGAGGAATGGTTTAGAATATAAATTTGTGTGTACTTTAAAAATGAAGGCGCATAAATTGGTTTTTTATGGTTGTTAAGGAGCATTATAGAGAAGTGCATGAACCAGAAAATATCTTTTGTTTCATGCACAAAAGAAATATGTAGCAAATTGTAAATCTTATCAAACTATTTGAGGAGGGTCAAAGTTTGGTCAAACTGAAAGATGGAATATTTTGTTTGTTCTGGGTTTTGATTAATGATTAATGATGATAAAGTTGGAAGGGACCTTGGAGGTCATCTAGTCCAGCCCCCTGCTCAGCCAGGAAACTCTATACCATTTCGGACATATGGCTGTCCAGTTTTTTCTTAAAAACTTCCAGTGTTGGCGCATTCACCGCTTCTGGAGGCAGGTTGTTCCACTGGTTAATTGTTCTCACTGTCAGGAAGTTTCTCCTTAGTTCTAGGTTGCTTCTCTCTTTGGTTAGCTTCCACCCGTTGCTTCTTGTCCTGCCTTCAGGCGCTTTGGAAAATAGCTTGACTCCCTCTTCTTTGTGGCAGCCCCTGAGATATTGGAACACTGCTATCATGTATCCCCTCGTCCTTCTCTTTGTTAAACTAGACATACCCAATTCCAGCAACCGTTTCTTATATGTTTTAGCCTTCAGTCCCCTAATCATCTTTGTTGCTCTTCTCTGTACTCTTTCTACAGTCTCAACATCTTTTTTACATCGTGGTGACCAAAACTGGATGCAGTATTCCAAGTGTGGCCTTACCAAGGCATTGTAAAGTGGTATTAATACTTCACCTGATCTTGATTCTATCCCTCTGTTAATGCAGCCTAGCACTGTGTTGGCTTTTTTGGCAGCTGCAGCACACTGCTGGCTCATATTTAAATGATTGTCCACTAGGACTCCAAGATCCCTCTCACAGTTATTACTATTGAGCAAGGTACCCCCTATACTATACCTGTACATTTGGTTTTTCTTGCCTAAATGTAGAACCTTACTTTTTTCACCATTGAATTTTATTTTGTTAGATAGCGCCCAGTGTTCAAGTCTGTCCAGATCCTCCTGTATCCTAAGCCTGTCTTCTGGAGTGTTGGCTATTCCTGCCAGCTTAGTCTCGTCTGCAAATTTGATGAGTTCCCCATCTATCCCCTCGTCCAGATCGTTGATGAAGATGTTGAAGAGCACTGGGCCCAGAACAGGGCCCTGGGGCACCCCACTACACACTTCCCTCCATGTAGATGCGGTTCCATTGAGGACCACACGCTGAGTACGGCCGGTCAGCCAGCTACAGATCCATCTGGTGGTGATGCTGTCTAACCCGCATTTTTCTATCTTCTTGAGTAGTAGGTTGTGGTCTACTTTGTCAAATGCCTTACTGAAGTCCAAGTAAATTATATCCACAGCATTCCTCTGGTCCACTAATTTTGTCACTTGGTCAAAGAATGCAATAAGATTTGTCTGGCATGATCTGTTTTTGACAAACCCGTGTTGGCTTTTAGTAATGACTTTGTTTGTCTGTAGGTGTTCGCTGATTCGTTGTTTGATTATCTTTTCCAGAATCTTCCCAGGTATTGAGGTCAGGCTGATAGGTCTGTAATTTCCTGGGTCCTTTTCCCCCCCTTTTTTGAAGATGGGAACTACATCAGCTCTTTTCCAGTCCTCTGGTAGTTCCACAGTGCTCCAGGATCTCTGAAAAATATAGTTCAGTGGTTCTGAGATCACATCTGCCAGTTCCTTGAGAACCTTGGGATGTAATCCATCTGGTCCTGGTGATTTGAACTCGTCTAGGCTGGACAGGTGCTCACTTACCATTTTCTTGCCTATCTTAACTTGTATTTCTATTTTATTTTTTATGGCACTATTTTTGATAGGTTGGTCTGTTCTTTCCCTTTGTGTAAAACAGATGCGAAAAACGAGTTAAATAGTTCTGCTTTCTCCCTGTTGCTTGTCACCTTCTTGCCACTTTCACCCACTAGTGGACCAATCGTTTCCTTCACTTTTTTCTTGTTTTTTACATGTTGAAAGAAGCTTTTTTTGTTATTTTTGACTTTGGTTGCAAGCCTTAGTTCATTTTGAGCTTTAGCTTTCCTCACTTCGTCTTTGCAGGCTCGGGCTATTTGCTGATATTCTGACTTAGTTATATTCTGAGAGGAACTCAGAGATGTTTTATGGATGAGTAGGGGCTATGCACCAGCCTTCCAAACAATAATTCTGGTGGCTTACCTACTTGCTGCCACAATTGAATTTAAGCATGGTCTACTACTTGACTGATCCATCTACCCTTTCCCCATCTCTCAAGTCCCTTCCTTCTTTGTAGCTACTGCCAGTCCACTCACCTCTCCACTGATCTTCCCAAAACATATCTTCTGCTTACCTCTGTTTAATCATTATGACATAGCATCATCTATGGCAGTGGTTCTCAACCTTTTTAATGCCGTGACCCCAACCGGTCATAAGTCGAGGACTAAACCGGTCGTAAGTCGAGGACTAAACCGGTCGTAAGTCGAGGACTACCCAACCGGTCGTAAGTCGAGGACTTTCCCTGCCCGGGAGCGCCGTGCATGCGTGGTTCCGCCCCCTGCGCCGGCTGAGGCGTAGCTGGCAAGCGGCAGACCGACCACCAGCTGGCCCAGCCCAAGGGAGGTAAGGCACCCGCCGGAAAAGGGGAAAAAATGGCGGACAAAAAAATGGCAGACAGCCTTGCTTGGCGACCCCCGTGAAATGGTCAATCGACCCCAAATGGGGTCCCGACCCACAGGTTGAGAACCACTGATCTATGGCCTTGTGCTTTTCATGCTGTCTCTCATCCCAGATTACTTCTACGCAATATGTCTGTATTTGAGGGAGGTGTAGATCTAAACCAAACTTGTGTTTCAATCTGGCCATGTGCCACTGACTACTGTTTGTTCCATGTATGAAAAGTTTTATGCATAAGTAGAAATTTCAGTCAAAAACTTTCCCATATCTCACTGTTTAATTGAAGAATCTGAAAGCCTTTTCTAGATAGATTGAGGCTTCTGGGGCTTTTTAAGGTTTCAGAATACCATTTGTCTAATCCCTCGGAACTGCAATAAATATTCCTGAGTTGTGTTTGTCTTGTTTCAGGATAGATGGGCACAAACATTTTAAGAGAGAAAAAACTCTAATTTTTCTCTTACAACTTTCAGAATACTGAAAATTCTCTAGGCTTATTTCTTGTCTGAATAATTTTATAACTGAAGGAAATTATTTAATTGCTAGTGACTATTGTTCATATTTATAGTAGAACTATGGTATCAGAATAAACTTTCTACAAAAATTGGTTTCCCCCACATTTTGGTTTTCTTATAATGTCCAAATATGTTGGATATCTTCCCAGCAAGATGGGCTGGAAAAATAATGAACAGATAGAACATGCATCAAGAACCCAAGACTTCTGATTTGCAGAAAAATTGAGAAGCCATTGCAAAAGAAATCAAGCAATTGTTGTAACTCAGATATGAGTTCTATTTATACTGCAAACAATATTGAAATTCTTACGTTTTTTTCCCTATCCTTTGTAAAAAGCTACAAATGACTCTTTTATGGGAGAGAGACAGTTTCTATCTGTTTATTATTTTGGAAATGGACAGATTAAGTATCAAGTTTGTTTTCACAGTGTGACAACTTGCTCTCATAAAAACTATTTTAGGTTTTTCCACATTTATTTTACCTGCAAAAGTCAATATTCTTTGTTTAAATAAAAATGAATGCATTTAAGGCACCATTTGGGTTAAGCATACTTGAGTCAACATATAATTCTTTAATAGTAATGAAAATTCTTGGATGATAAATAAGATAAATAAGGAAGCAGATAAATTAAAAAAGCAGCATCTTTTTGAGTATTTTTTTCTGTTTCTTAGACTGTTGATTCTTAAGTAAACTTATTTCTAAGAACATCCTTTCAGCTTGTTTTCTTTTAAAAGTGGAGTAAGAATCTAGAAGTATGGTTCAAGTCAATGGAAAAGAACTAATAGGCGTAACAGATGTGGAGAATTTGATTTGCCTGTTCAGGTTGGACGGTGGCATTGCTCTGTGCTAGTATCAAGGGCGATTCAAGGCCATTCTTGTTGTGAGCTAGATCTAATGGGAAAGTTATTTCATGCTCCATATGTTTTATTTTATATTGGACTAATTATCAAGCAGTCATATTGCGATCTCTTGAAGCATGCTTTATTGCATTATAAATGCTATAATTAAGAAAGATTGCGGGAAATGTGTAAAATATTCTTCAGGAATTAAATTTTAGCAGAGGAAACTAATCTTTTACAATATA